ATAAATTAGCATCTGGAAGTTTCAGGAGAATTCAACTGTTAGTGCGCTTCTGCATGGCTGGTTCACACAACACACTGAACCAGTTCACAGAAAGACCCTGCTGCTGCATTTGCCCAACATTGTTAGCGTACTTAGTTTAATCTTGGTTTGTTTCCCACAGCTTAGCCTATTGTACAGGCCCCGTCTGTTTGTTGAGTTTAGAGCTCAAGATATTCTGCCAACCCAGAAATTGGATTCAGGATGGGTGGACAGGATTTCAGTTTCTGCTGTGGGGAATATACGTATGTATGTGTGTAATTTATACAATTTCATTTTATTTCATTTCCACGCTGCTCAACCAGGCGCAGTTACTCTGAAATTTACTCTGCCCACATCTCAGTAGGATTCACATTATTTTGACCCTTCTCTTCCCCAGAACAGCCTGGGGAAGTGTGTGATAGTATCCAAAAAAGAAATTGACCAACTTCATTAAACTAAAACAGGGACTTAATGTCTCCAGCCAGTGTGGATCTTCCAGGGCAGGAAATGAGTTGGGACCTTTGAACCGACAAAGAAATGCCTTATCTTTTCTTTCCTGTTAACAAACCATCTTGTTCTGCTTTTCAACATGAACAGAGGAGAACAACAAACAGTGACTAGCAAGCACCAGCAAAAGCAGGTCAGTTGATCACATGGATTTCAAGGAGGGCATTTCCACTGCTCAGGAAAGATTTAGATGACCCCCTAGCAGCAGGGTTGATCAATGTTTGCTTCATGCCCGAAGGCAAGTGGGAAGAGGGGTGTGCGTGCATGCGTGCGTGTGTGTGAGAAAGAGTGTGTGATTATGGGAAAAGAGGAAAGACGCCCCTAAATTGCAACATGAAGTCTTTCACCTTTGGACTGGAGCTCCAGCACATCGCTTGGGAGAAGAGTCTTGCCTGGAAGAGATGATTCCTCCAGGCCATTTATTTTATTTATTATTATTATTAATTTAAATGTATTGGCCACCCAACTCCAGTGGATTTTGGGAGGTGTACAAAACTAGAGAAGACATAAAAACAGCGGAAAAACATTAAATCAAACAGACAGCCCGGACTAAAATAATCTAATAGACAACAAAATCAACAAAACAAAGCAGGGGCCATTGAACAAATAATAAACATTAACCCCAGGCCTGGGACCAAAGCCAGGTTTTCAAAGCTTTTCGGAACTCTAGGAGAGAGGACGCTGTCCTTACTTTATCTTATTTTATTTTATTTTATTTTATTTTATTTTATTTTATTTTACTTTACTTTACCTACTTTATTTTATTTATATAGCCTGATCCTAGTTGCAACAGAATACAGGCAGTCCTCATCTTACAACCATTCAGTTAACAACCGTTCAAAGTTATGACGGCACTGAAAAAAGTGACTTATACCCGGTCCTCGCACTTACTGTCACAGCATCCCTGTAGTCACATGATCAAACTTTGGACCCTTGGCAAATGGCATGCATTTACAATGGGTGCAGCTTCCCAGGGTCATGTGATCACCATTGGCAACCTTCCCAGGGGGCATCCATAAGCAAAGTCAATGGGGGAAGCCGGATTCACTTAACAACCGTGGCAGAAAGGTCATAAAATTGGGCACAACTCACTTAATGACCACATTGCTTGGTGATGAAAGTTCCAGTCCCAATTGTGGTCATAAGCCGAGGACTACCTGTATTCCAGACACATTTGGTACCAAGGGAAGTTTTCCAGCCTGTTGTGCTTCTAAAGAGGCATTCAACTTCCCAACCTGGATTCTGTATTTTTCTCTCGTTCTCCAACTCTCATTTGACTTTTGTTGTATTCATACAACATCCTTAACCTGAATTCATTGATATTCTGACACGTTAAGCTTCAAAAATCCTTTTCTAGCTTTAATCCTAAGCACACATAGCATATTATAGGAAGGCAGCCAGTAATTCTTGGTTAAGTTGTGGTTGCGCAGATATAGCTGGAGTGATAGTATCCATCATTCATGTTTCTGCAGCAATTCTGGTCCTTCTAATTCCTCTCCTGTCTTCTTCCTAATTTCATCACACAAGTGATCAAATCATTAGGATGATGTCATCGCTGCTCACCGTCAATCAGATTTAGCTATGGGATAATCAAGGATCACACGGTAAATCACATTACGCCATAATGGCTGTTCCCCACAGCACACTATCCTGGTTACTAAATTAACCCATTTTCTAGCTTTGGGCCCTACGGTGCACCTCTAAACGAACTAGAACCATTAGATGTGTGCAACTCACTAAACCATATGTACATCCATGCACACACAACCTCATCAACCTTTAGTGCATTGTTTTTCAACTTTGGCAACTTGAAGATGTGTGGACTTCAACTCCCAGAATTCTGGCTGGGGAATTCTGGGAGTTGGAATCCACACATCTTCAAGTTGCCAAGGCTGAGACACACTGCATTAAAGCATCAAATGGTTTATGAGTACTTCTGAGAGTTGAAGATGTGTGGGCTTCCTCCACCCCCAAACTCCCCCCCCCCCCCC